TCATCTTTTCATTTTTGTGATAGTAATCTTCGAAGCCCAAAATATTACATTTGATCTAAATCTAGTTGAATCATTTTTATTTTGCCATTTGTGCTTTTGCTGTCGTACTTAAAAGGTTTTGCTTAACCAAGATTGTGAAGATATACTGCTACATTTTTCTAGTTTAGTTCTTACATTTTGGTCCCTGATATGTTTTGGGTTAGTTTTGTAGTTGGTGTGAAAGATACGAATTTCATCCTTTTTCTTGTGTGTGTAATGTTACTTTTCTTTTTCTTTTTTTTTTTTTTTCAGAACCAGGGATTGAACTCAGGCCCTTGCGCTTGCCAGGGAAGCGCTTATTCCACCAAGCCATTACCCCGGCCCCCTTGTGTGTGTAACATTTTCTGAATGTACTGTTTCCCCCACTGAACCATATCAGATCTTAATGATGATGGTCTCTGAGGTTCCCCGGGGTGTGGGTACGTGCAAAGGCAGGTGTACTTGACATTGGCTCCCTGTGTATTACGGTGAAGATAACTTTGGTTTGGCTTCAGAAAAGATAAATTATATAATATTTTTATGCTTCTAAAACTAAAAAAAAAAAATGGGGTTAGGATATAGCTCAGTGGCACAGCTCCTGACTAGCAAACATGAGGTCATGAGTTCGATTCCTGGTACCAATAAATAAATAAATAAAACTAAAGAAATCTAAAATAGATAATGTCTACATTTTTGAGGGTCACTTGCACAAATGCTAAGCATATAGATCATGTTTTCTTTATCGCTTTCTTCCGCATAGAACTCTGACTAACTTAGAAACACAGGTGTGTTCATTGCTTTAGTTTGAGGCGCTCTGAATAAATCTCCAAATACTAACACAGCCATGCATTTAGTGAATTGACTCATACTATGGATGTATAATTATGAAAACCCAAAGCTTGGTATTCACTTGTGACAAAATTTCTTAATGAGATTTATTTACCCCCTTCTGCAAAGGATAAAGTTTGCATAATACTTACTTTCAATCATTAGGTATTCAACTAGTATGCTATTGAAGCTTACAGATTTTCATTGCTTCATTGGGATCACTTGGCTTTTTGGAGCACTCTAGATTTTTTTGTTTTTGTTTTTATTTGGAGACGGCATCATCTACATCTGCATTTCATGGAAGCACTTGCTTTTCCCTTTCACATTTTCAGCGTATGGATTCATTTTTATATTTCTCTCTTTTTTGAGACTTGGTTTTCAAGATTCATTTCAGTGTAGAAATTGAATGCCCTGGTTTTGCCAATCCTTGGCACTCAAATCCCACTGAAAGTAAAAGGGCTCCAATCTCATTAGAGAAAAGTGCGCAGCAACCTGCAGACAGGGTGTCTAAATATCTTGAGTTTCATTCCTTAGACCTTTGTCAGCACTTAGGGAGCTGCCCCACATCCTTAATGCTGCCACTTTGGATAGGTGACTGCCTCAACGAGGGCCCCAGAGGCTTTTATAGTCCATAAGTAAGTGGACATGAAAAAATTAAAATGCAATTCCCTGGGCTTCTACAACTAGGAAGACACTTGAATATGTATAGCACAGAGGTAGTTTCATGTTGTAGTGAAGCTTTTTTTAAAGTTTATTCAACCCAAATTTATAGCATTTTATTTCTGCCATAAAGAGAGTTTATATTACAGTCTACCCCTGAAGTTAACAGGAGTAGTTGTAACTACAGTGTGGTTAATGAAAACACAGTACATAAAATGTAAACTTCGCTGATTCTCTAATTGGTATAAAAGCTTCAGACATATGAAAGTGAGCTTTACAGCACAGCACAGTTGAACATTGATCATTGATACAAATAAAATCTTTGACATATCAAAATTTAGATATTGATTTTAAGAAAATGTCCTTTATATCATGAAATATCTCATGCATTCTCTATAGTGTCTTGAGACTATGGTAGTCAGTACTCACATTTGGCTGCTGAATGCTTGAATATTAGTCCAAATCAAGACCTGAAGGGTACTGGATTAGTCTTCAATAGAATAAAAGAACATAAAATATTGAATTAATGTCGAACGCAGTGAAATATTTTGGTTAAATTAGGTTAAATGCACTATTCAAGTTAATACTATTTCTTTGTACTTTTTAAATGTAGCTACTCAAAATGTTAAAGCTGCGCATGTAGCTCACATGTGTGGTTCACCTTATGATTTGTTGGACAGCCCTGTTCAAGAGGCCACCTAATACAACTATCCTACATACCTAAGAACAGAGTCGTACGCATTTTCTCCTCAGATCATAGTTTAATGTAACATAGATTCATAAGATAAATTCATTATGTCTTAATGTACTTTTGTTACACCTCTTTATTGTTTAACACTCTACTACCTCTGCTGAGAACCCCCTTTCCACTTACTCTACTTGGCAAACTTTCTTATCTTTTAGTGGTCAGCAAAAATATTATTTTTTCCATAAAATATGCTCTGGATTCTTTTACACTACGTCCGTACCCTAAATGGAAATAAACACTCTGTCTTCAGGGCTGTGCAGTCTTAGCCAATGCCTGCTAAATGCTTACTGTTTGCTGAGCTCAGGGCTAGGCTGTTGGAAGTAGCCAAATGTGAAAAAGAGTGGTGTGGATCTTGTGGATGTATGCTTGCATTCTAGAGCAGAATACCAACAAGGAAATACACAGTCACAAAATGTAAAATGTTGTACAGGAGAGATTTAGAGAATACATCAAAAGCATAACCTTCTCAGACCATCTTTGTGGAAGATAGGTATACTGAATCTGCATGACAGCATTTGACTCCCCAGAACTTGTATGTACTACCTATGCAAACTAAATGATATCTTTTTATGTCATAAATGGTTCAAAACTCAAATTACAGATTGGTATTCTTATATTACATAAATACTCCAATATCCTTGCAAGGATCCTCTTATCCTGGTAATTTAGATATTGAATTTTTTTATAAAATAAAGAACAACAAAATAGTCTCTATACAATTAATGCAATTGAATTGAGAGGATTTCACAAGAGGTGTATGATGCACACTAATGCACTCTACAGAAGAGTTCAGGATTTTAATGATTGTATTGCTATAGTGATGAGAAGATAAATTATCAATAAGCAGTGAGCAGTTGCAAGTCATCTCACATATGGCAGCGGAGTTTTTAAATTTAATGTTGGAAGGCAGGACCAATCGTTGGCTTGCTGCACAATTGCAAAGATCTAGAACCTAGGTAAGAAGAACACTTTTTAAAGCAGGAGTAATCCAAATCCATCTGAATGTCCATGCACTAAGGTGCACAGCCCTCACTTCCTTGAACAGAACTCTTATTACATGGAATGTTTTCTTTTTACTTTAGAGTTGAGTCTAATGAAGGTATCTGGATGAAACTAGAAACTGTCCATTGGAAAGGAAGGCTAGAGGCAGCAATGGCGGTAGAAAAAGGACAACACATAGTAGGTGTGTGTGATACAAAAGGCATGGCCAATCACTAAGTTATAGCATTCTGGAGTCCTTCAGTGCAGCAACTGATAGCTTAGAAACTCTTGGGAGCATTCCTAACACCTAGAAAAAGCTTGATATAAAAAGTGGACTCAAAGATTACCTATTTAGTCCTCGGCCTTCAGGGTCTACAGGGTCTCACTACATAGATCGGACTTCCAAGCGCTGAGCTGGGGATCGAACCCCGGTCCCTGCGTCTGCCTAAGCAGGCTCTTCAATCTCCTAAGCTATCTGGCTGGCCCTGGACTCAAAAGTATTTCTTAAGTCCACTATTAACTTATTACAGTAATACTTTTAATGAAAGGACAAGGAATTTTCAAGTGCCAAAGCCCAATAAATTCCTTAATAGAAACACACAGTACATTTTAGAAAATCTTTGTGTAACAGTTAAAGCTAACACACACACACACACACACACACACACACACACGCAATTAAAGATAGTTTTTAGAAATTTGACTCCACTGAAGGGCCAAGGTCCAATTATGCTGACCGTCATTTAACTGGAATAGTTTGCTTTGTGTCTGTCCTTTACAGACGACGCTCCATGGAAAAGCAGCCTTCATTAATTTACCTTAAGCAGATTTTGAACTGTGGTACATGCAAATAAATGCTATTACAAGAGGTTTAAACTATATTAGATGGCAACAGATTGCCTAGTTGAAAATGCACTAGCACCACTAAGCAAGAAACTTCCTATCATGTGCCCAGCACTGCGCCAAGAGCCAGCTTTATTAAGAATTAATTTGAAAAATGCCTTTTACTTTCAAGATTGAGAAAGTATTCCAAAGCTCATTCATATTTTTAAAGGTTAAATTTTAAATGCACGACAGCAGCATTACATAACAGGCATAGAATACAGTTTTATGACTTGGATAATTTTTGTTTATTTTTTAAAGTGCACTACCAACTCTACTTCCAAATGCTATCATTTCTTTAGGATATGAAAACCTACATATAAGAATAGAGTGCTTTATTCACTTGTTTGTCTTATCTGCGTTTTAGCACAGGCGTGCCCTTTCGGAGTTTAGGGTGCAGCTAAGCTGTACTTTAGCGTTTTTGTGTCCAGCGAAGATAAATTCAGCAACGACACTCATTTCCCCTGGTCATTTTTTTTTTTTTTTTTTTCATGGCGAGTTACCAACTGCTAGATGACAGAATCAAAAAGAAACCTGACATCTAGGAAGGTGTTGAGTGGGCGTTAATAGTTGTAGTTATACGTTTGGTGAGCGTGTAAAATAGGATTTTAACACAGCAAATAAAGGAGAAGGGGAAATTGGGGTTTCATGACTCTCCCTGCACTTTCTCGCTTTGCCACTCCGAGCCCCCTCCAGTTCAGAGGCGGGTTCAGCGAGGTTCGGCTGCAGGAAACCAAAGAGGCTCCGCGGAGCTGCTCCCCCAGCCTCGTGATGTAATTGTGATTTCTCATTCGGAGACCGAACCCTGGGGAGCAGCGGGAGAAGGGGCAGCCCCGTGGTCCCGCCCGGTCCGGCCAGGTCAGATCCTTTCCGAGGACGAGGTAGCTCCGCCGGGGACTTCGCAGTGACAAAGCAGGGAAGACGAGCCCGGCGCCCGGGTCCTCCGCCGTCCCGCGGCCGAGCGGGGCGCTCCTCAGGTCTCCTGCCCAGTTCTCTCCGCGTCACCACACGTTCATTCCTGGGTGCTGAGCTTGAGGTCCAAGTGACCCGGACTCCCAGCCCCGCGCCCCCCGGAGTGCAGGGCAGGATTACGCGGAGGCAGGAACTGGGGTGGGGACGGGGAGCCGGGGGCGCGCGGCGCAGGCAGCGGCGGGGGACCGTCCGGGCGCCCGGGTCTGGGGCCCCG